AGTTAAGTGCTCGCCCCGTAATCTGAAGGTTGCAGGTTCGAGTCCCGCTCAGTCTGTTGCTGTCGTTGTGTCCTTGGGCAAGACACTGAACCCCCTTGCCTGCTGGTGGTGGTCGGAGGGACCGGTGGCGCCAGCGCTTGGCAGCCTCGCCTCTGTCAGTGCGCCCCAGGGCAGCTGTGGCTACATCGTAGCTCATCCCCACCAGTGTGTGAATGTGTGTGTGAATGGGTGAATGACTGATTGTGTTGTAAAGCACCTTGAGGGGTTCCAGGACTCTAGAAGGCGCTATATCAAATACAGGCACTTAACTCCTATGCCACCATCACCCGCAACGGAACAATCGGTCCAGTACACTAGCTAGCCCGGCTCTGGCTTCGCTTCCTGTTCAGCTGCTCTGAGCCGAGAACGTTCGGTTCCTGCAGATAGAGGAGTATGAGCCTAGGGGGCAAAGACGGTCAGAGGAGCGGTTAAATGGATGGATGGAGGATCCAATCATTAAGAACGGGACATTCACAATGATTGGATGAGATTTAAAATGATCATTTTATAAAAATCATTACATTTATTGGTTTTATGTGAAGAGGACGTCTCCTCGTGCACCTTTAAGCATTGTTGAACCACGGGTAACACCCGTAGCCCCGTGCACTAACATAAGACAGGAGTGATTATGTAAATGTGAGGCACAAGCATTAAACATTTTTCACTTTTTACTCCGACTGTACTCACCCAACAGTCCCAACTACTCCCCCCCCCCCCCCCCCCCCCCCCCCCGCCACCGCCACCACCACATTCTCCAGGGGACCTCCTGCTCCACTTCTCTGAAACTTTCTCGCTACTTTTGGATCATCTTACTTACAGATAAACCAACAAAGAAATCCGCCTAACTATTGGCAGACGAAGAGAGCTAAAGGAACGTCTCATCTGCTGCACAAGAAACTTTTGAGAAGGGATGGGGAACTTTTAATCGGATTGTGGGACTCTCAGAGCTCTGATCTTCAGCCAGTTCATCCTCTCGGAGAAACCACGGGAGACAGAGAGAAGCCGAGGCTGCGGCGGCGTCTAATCGGAACCATCGATCATTGTGATCGATGACAGCGGATCAACAACAGGATTTATGGATGACTCTGGGAAAAGACCTGTCTCGAATCGATCCTTCCCACATGATCTGGTTGAGATGATTTACTAGATTCATCCACTAGGATAAAAAAACATCTTGAGCTTCCCTTATGTTCATAATCATTAGCGTTTATAATAATTGTGTGATTTGTTTTTCTACCTAAATAAATGAGAAGATATGAGGCGGCGTCATTAGGATCTCAAAAACAATGAAAAATTTCAGTGGTATTAATATTTCTCACCATCATTTCTTTAACTTGATGCTCTGAAAAAGATATGAAATAGAGATGGGTACCTTTGACATTTGAATCGATTCGGTACTAATTCCCGGTACCTACGAATCGATATCGGTACTTAACGGTACCAATTTTAGATACTTTTGAGTGTTTAATATTTTAATTCTCTTTTATAATTAAATATATATTTTTCTCAATATATAACCATATTTGATAAATATCACAATAAATAACATTCAACTGTTTGTATTTTAACATCGTCCTTGTAGTTTTATAAGCTGATAATCAAACTGAAGCAAACATCTTTACTGTGAACTAAATTTACTGTGTATCTTCATTCCTTTTGCCGTCCTTTTTCTTTTGATTTTTTCCTACTGGGAAGTTAGAATTTCCGAGGAGAAAGCAAACACACCATTAGCTGATAACAACGGTGGCAATGGAAGCTAACGTATCAAGCTAACGTCATCTTAAACAGTTTATTTAGCTGCTGGAGCAGATTTAAACGATGATGCCTCACACTTAGATCGTCACTGGTTTCGTCTTCACCCAATCACCCGTCGCATTTGGTAAAGTGAAGCCAAACTTTAGAGCGCGTTCATGTTCTTCTAGTCGGAGATTCGGAGTTCCGAGGAGAAAGCGAACGCACCATTAGCGGAACGGAAGCTAACATATCAAGCTAACGTTATCTTAAACATTTTATTTACCTACCGGAGCAGATTAAGATGAGGATGTCTCACTTAGATCGTTGTCGCTGGTTTCATCATCACCCAGTTACCCATCACATTTAGTGAAGTGGACCCAAGCTTTAGCGTGCGTTCTTTCTACCATGCTGCTCTGTTTACAACTGGCTAGCAGCGACCGATGACATAACACTCTTGCGCATGCGCAGCTGTCTAGGCAAGTTCTCGTTATGAAGGACGGGTACCGAAACAAGGCACCGTTTCAAATGACGTGAATCGGTGCTCAGTCGGTACTATGGAATTCGGTCGGTACCTTAAAAAGTACCGAATTCTGTACCCATCGCTAATGTGAAATATTGAAAGGATGCTTGTTTAAATCAAACTCTTATACTAAATAATGAACCTTTTATTATAAGTGCTCGCCCCGTAATCGGAAGGTTGCAGGTTCGAGCCCCGCTCAGTCTGTTGCTGTTGTTGTGTCCTTGGGCAAGACACTTAACCCCCCTTGCCTGGTGGTGGTGGTCGGAGGGACCGGGGCGCCTCCGTCAGCGCGCCCCAGGGCAGCTGTAGCTACATCGTTGCTCATCCCCACCAGCGTGTGAATGGGTGAATGACTGGCTGTGTTGTAAAGCACCTTGGAGGGTTCCAGGACTCTAGAAGGCGATTCACAAATACAGGCCGTTCACCATTTAAACCAGCTGCTGCAGAACAATCCTCATCACCGCACGTTCAAATCGTACAATTATATTTTACAACAGTTTCAACTACATTTCATGTCATAAATAAAAATTAAAGTGCGACTTTGAAATTAACGGGCTTCGGTTTTACAAAAGGAAGATGTTTATGGTTCATAAAACCAGTGGCGGCGCTAGGGGGGCGCTATAGCTACCCCGGATTAGTCATTGCACCCCCAAATAAATATTAGATTTTAGGTTTTTTTACAATTTAATTTTAATTTAATGTGTGGATGTGATCATATTTAACGTACAAAACAAAAATAATCAGCGCCAGCAACGGCCTCAGATTTGTTAAAAAGTTAGGCTTAGTTCCGGGAGCTTGAGATGCCGCTGCATGATTGTGCGCCGCCATCTTTTTTTTTTTTGGTGGATAATTCCAGAAATTCATGGTAAACACTACACGTTGTACCTTTAATGTCACTTGCATAGAACATTTTAACTCTGATTTTGAATTTAAATGTCCTGCAAACCCTCTGAAATTCTACCAGAGCGTGTTTTACTCCACTGACCTGCAGAGGGACGGATTTACAGCGTCGAGTGACTCTGATGAACGAAAAACGAGATGTTTAGCAACAGGAAGCAGAAGGTCTGAGTTCACAGCAGCACCCCCAGCTGATGCTAATCATTAGGGCGAACACCCTAACTCGGCACTTAGGGTGTTATTTCAATCCCTGATGGACAGAAACACAGTGAGAAGCTGCAGATCTGTTCCCATGGCAACGCCAACTATAATACATATCAGCTAATAAGGAATAAAAAAGAGCTCCAGCTCGCTGAATACATGCAGAACTTGGCTTTGATTACTCGTCTCAGCTCTACCATGATTCTGATGGAGACAGCACCGAGTTAAACATCAGGAATAATCAGAACGCTCCATCTCTCCTTTATTCCTCGGATGATCTCTTCGCTGGAGATGCAGCTGCTTCTATTTGATCTGTGTGAATGAAGATCTCTGCAGCTCGGTTTAGAAAAACGCCTCCAAACAAACACACAGTATGTTCCTGAAGATGACACACATCCGGCTCCTAAATCCTCTTTGGAGAAAATACAACTGGAAGGTTTTTAGTGGATGTTTATGTAACCAGGTGAAAGACAGCAAAAGCACATCCATTCACAGCCGAGAACTCAAATGAACTCTTTATCTCCAAAATAAATTCTCTTTTGTGGTCGAACTAATGCATTTAATTCCTCTGACTGCAGAATGACACCTGCAGCAGGAAGAAAAGGTGCTTCATTATATCTGACAGGGGCGTGTCCAGGGAGTGGCCTGGGGTAGCACATGCCACCCTTGGAATGTGATTGGCCACCCGCAGGTGCCACCACACTAATTTACCTTTAAATAGGCTTTTCATTGTCCACAAAAGGCTTGGGGGTAAAACAAAAAAAGCATAAGCATTGGTGCCACCCATGCACAAAGTTGTGCCTCACCTGGGCCACCCCATTTTAAAAGATCTGGACACGCCACTGATATCTGATTTCACAAGTAAAAATAACACTTAATGTTCTGTTAACAGCTGATTTATTTATTAAGAACTCTTCTCAACAAATGAGGTTCAGCTCATTCTATTTTTCTGTTTTGTGGGATTATTTTAGTAAATCTTTGAAATTGCTATAAATACAAAATCCAATGTTAATAAAAGATGGGGCCATTTTAGCCCATTTGGGAAAGAGTGCGTCATTAGATGTTTTTTCTCTTAATCTGGAAACGATGCCTCAGAAATCTAAACTATGAAAACGAAAGCGCGTCTCAGACACTCCGTGTGTCTGAAAAGGCAAAACAAAGACTGACGGTATGAACGCAGCCTGCGGATCCTGGCGGAGGTTGCTGACCTTGGGGTTCAGCTCTTCCTTAATTATTTAAAAGTTTGCGCTTCAAACGCACAGAAACGGGCGCAGTGAGCGGGTTTTGTTTTGGGGTTGCGCTCCGTCGGTGGGGAAGGCCTACGCGAGACTATTTTTATAAATGAACCTGTTTGGTATTCTAAATAAATATCTGCACAACAACAAAAGCCTCCATGAAGCACAAAAACAGCTCCAAACGCATCCATGACGCCACTGGAGCGCACAGCGGCTCGTGCGCTCAAAACACATTTTCCACACATTTCATTCTCTTGTTTAGGTTATTATGAACAACTAAACTGGACCGGGTTCGCAGGTCGTTTGTTTGCATTTAAATGCTTCAAGGAAAACGGCCTCATTCTGTCTGAAAAGTGGAAGCGCCGGGGTCTTACCTTCAGCAGCCTCGCAGCTCTGCATCATCAAGATCAGCACCGCGCTGATGCTCACAAACACCCGGGCCAGCATGCCGTTCGGAACCCGCAACCTGCTCCCGTTCCTGGGCGAGCGGACGGACACATCGCCCGCGTTCAGGACCCGTGCCACCCGGAAACAACAGTCTTGTGTTCTGCCAGTCCCTCGCCAGGCCCCGGGGCCACTGCTGGAGAGGAGCGCATGTTTGGGAGCCATTGGTCAACCAGTTAGTCCTGGATGGAGAACACCTAACGGAGCTGCTGCGGTGAACGGCGTCCGGTTCGGACGAGCAGGGCTCCGGTCTCCATGAGCCTCCCGGAAGCGGCGGGGCTCCACGCGGAGACGAATTGGTCTCCTTTCCGCGTCTCTCTGCTCGCTCCTGCGTCTCCGCGCTCTGCGTGAAGTCTGAGGTCTGTTACCGCAAGGCGCGCGCTGAACGATGCGTCAAGCTCAGCAGCAAACCGGATAGGTCCCGGAGGCGCTTTCAAAATAAAAGTCTCCAGTTATTGGCAGATAAAGCAGAGAGCAAGTTAAGAATATTTCAGGATTGGATAACCACGCTCAGTTGATGTATGTCACTCGTTTACTTTTATTCGTCATTCTCCATTCATAACGTGCTACTTGTTTTAAAAATCAGGCAAGTCCTGATTTGTCTGGTTGGTTTTAAGGACTCGCTGTCGTCATAGAGCTGAGACGAGGCTGTCCCATGATTCCACAAGAAAAGCTTTTAGTTCGTTTAATCGCCTCAACGTTTAATTAAAGAACCGGAAGTCTGTAGGGAGTAAGTAAATGAACAGACGGTTCAACGGGCAGTTGGTGCCACCTGCTGGTAGCTGCTGGTTACTGCAACCGCTCTTTCTGTTTTTATTCTCAGCCGAACTTAAATCTGAACCTCATTTCTGCTCGTTTGACATTTCTATTAGCTTTAACCCTCCAGATATGAAAAGGCTTTGAGGACTATATATGTTTTTACTGTTTCAGCTCAGCTGTTTTTATATTAATATAAGTTATCTAGGACACATTTTTATTTTGTCTTTTTTGCCATCAAATTTGTAATTGCAATTATTACAGTTGGTTGGAGACTTTCTTGTTTTTTATGTAAAATCTTCAGTCACAGCAGCACGTTTTATGATGAAAAACGTGTGTGAAGGGAATGGAGGAAAGGCCTCGCTCAATGAAGGTAAAATCTTACTTTAAACGAGGCTGTAACTCGTCTGTTCTTCAGCTTAAAGATGAAATCTTTCTTCTTTGCTCACCAAATCCCATCTCAAACACTCATAGGTTTTAAAACGGACAAAAGATGCTCCGCAGATCTTCATGAACACAGATGTCTTTGTGAAGTTACACTGCTTCAAAATAAAAGTCACCATCTAAAAGAAGACAACAGCGAATGAAGCAAAAGATTTTTTTTTATTCAAAGTGAATCTCAACAACGTACACAATAAATTCATAATTTGACACTCACCAATAAGAGTCACCAAGAAGGAACCCGCTTTTCGTGACAAAGTACATCAGGCTTGGTCACACTGAAACTCACTGAGAACTAGACGGGAGGGGCTGCAAACTGGTAAGACGCGCGTCGTTACATCCCAACGAGCATTCCCAGTCATCGTATTGTTGTATATTGCACAGTGCAGTTGCTACAAGTCACACTAGTGTAGCACTTAAAGATTAAACTAAACAAATCAAAGAAAAAAACCATAAAGCCACACAAACCTACATATTTAGAACAGTAACATTTTTATTCAGCCATCATGTGTAAATGCAAATAATTAGTCATGTTAAAAAAATCACTTTTGGATTCCTGCTCACTAACCAAGCGAGGTGTTTGGTGAATTTGATCTGCTGGTGCCAATAAAAGCAGGTTTGGAGGGAGTAGACCCAAAGAGATCAACGCGGCTGGCGTTTTACAATAATCGGAACTATTTAAGCCTGTTTAGTTGCTTAAGGCTCGTTATGGGTCGGGAACCGCGTGAACCCCCTCCGTCGTCTTTTGTGCCGACCGTCGGCATGAAGCTGCAGCGGCGTGAGTCATCTACCCGCCACGGTGGGACGTAGCCCTCGCCGACGCAAAGAACCAACATGAGCGGGATCGACCGAGAAGCCGCGACACAAACGGAATCTCAGGCTGCACGCCGAGAAAAACAGTGAATCCACTTAATAAGCATCAAAACAGTAGCACAACAACAACGAAACCATCACAAACTAACGCTAAATCCGATCAGGCTGGGACCACTTTGGAGCCACGAGTGACGGATAAAGCATTTCGAAGGCTGAAACATCTACCAATGGTAATAGCTGCATCCAAGAACGATCAACATCCCCATCACAGGACGAGCCCAAACGCCGCAGAGCCGCAACAAGACAGCCAACATGTCGTCTGCAAACCTAAACCGGACGACTCGACGTCCGCCAATACATTCACGGTGTGAAGTAAAGCTTTGCATTTCAGGCCTCGTGTTTTCACTACTGCGCCGCGTCCTTGGTGAATATAACGTTCCCTGACATTTTTTTCTTAGGATTCTGTTTTTAAAAAATCAAGCTGTTTACAGAACTCACCTGGGGCTAACTAGCTTTAGGGACCCGGTTCTACCCTCCAGACGGAACTAGTCTAAGAAACTTCCAACAGCTTTGATATGGAGACGTCTTCTGTCAGCCGCCGGTAGGAGAAAGGCACTAGTCGTACAGTACGGAGTCGCAAATACGGTCCTAGAACGGAAATAAAACCACGCCATCCAAAGTAAAACATTAATACATCACACTGGTTACAGAATCAAAGCGGGACCCCAGCCTACGTTTGAAATACTGATGCTAAATACACACACACACACACACACACACACACACCAAAAAAGCAACAGAACAAAAAAAATAAACAGATAACTTCCAATACAGCAGTTTACAATCACTTCAAAACAAAATAAGCCAATATACAGGAGGCACTAGCATAAAGGAGTAGCGTCCAATATACTCTGATCCAAGTTAAGCCCACCTACATCGTCTCTAGTTGTCCAAACTACGATACAGAGGAGAGAAAACGCAGGCGAGAAAGAGATTAATCCTCTAAATTCACAGCTACCAAGTGGCAGATAATCAGTACATAGCAGCTTATTATCTATACATTCCAAACAACTTAGCAAACAAAAGCTCCAAATAATAATAATAATAATAATAATAATAATAATAATAAAGCCTCAACCTCAAATTTCAAAAAGCAAGATCTCACAACATATAAAAAAAAAACGCTGGAGGTGAAGGAAATAACATCGACCGTGCTTCGGAAATGATTAACATCGAGTCTTTGGTGCTGATTGGAGTGAAACGTCCGCGGGGGTGACGGCTGAAGGAACAGGTCCACTAAAACACACACACACACACGCACGCACGCACACACACACATACACACACACACACACACACACACACCAGAGGCTATGCTTCCACCCTGAAGGAATGTATAAAACAGGCTTCAACACACAACTCTAATACTCCAAAACCCCAGCAGTGATACTGTTGACCTCAAACACTGAGAAGCATCTTAAAGTACATACATAGAATCTTTAGGTGTTTAATCTAGGCCCCCCCCCCCCAAAAAAAAATATAGCTAAAAATACGCAAACGGGCCCTAAACACGAGACGATAAAACACAGCAACCCAGAGTATCTAGATTGTATTGCAGTTACAGTAAACAGTGACAATACTGTTATGAAGTATAAGTACTATCGTGAATAGAAATCGATTATCAAAATATCAAATCACTCTTTATGTACATTAAATTTCAGTCAAAGCCCTATATGTGCAGCCCCATACTCTGAGTTAGAAAGCAGACTGAAGTCCAACGATGGTGAAATACCACCCCCCCCCCACACACACACACACACACGTGCGTGTTCCCCTCGTTAAGAAGCCCACCTCGTTAGTGAAGTGCTGCAAGCCCGTTCAGACGTACGATCTGTGTGCTCCTGAAGTAACGCCGTACGCTCGGGTTTAAGGCACTAGGAGAAAGCAGAATCAAAGACGGGAGCGTCTGATCCAATCAGCAGCGATGGCTGAACGACCGGATCGGAGCGGCTGCTGCAAGGCACCGTCTCTCTCTTTATACCTGACGACAAGAGTTGATTGATTATTTCTTATTAACTCATTGACTCTGAACTCTGCAGCTTCCTCCGCTGGCTGACCTGATTTAGGGGGAGGAGTTTAGAGCGGAAGCTGCTCTAAAAATCAAACATGATTACAGACGCTTTGATTTCTGTCCTTAAAACATCATCAGTAAAATAATAAAATCCATCCACAGTAAAAAAAAAAAAACATTATTCATCTGTTCTTCATCACAGGAGCTGCTGGTGAGCTCGGCTGGTGGGTCGGCCCGCCCAGGTCCAAGCGCCGCTCCACTTCCCCTTCGGCCTCCTCGTCAGGAGGTGCTGCTGCGTCTCCTTCCTGCTCCTCAGATGTAAGAAAACTGGTGGCTGAGCTTCGTGGGGCTCAGAGGGAAGCCAGTGAAGGCGGCTGGGGAGGCCAGGTACGGGTGAGGAGGGGGCGGGGGGAGAAAGGGAGGCTTGAACTGGTGCGGGTGGTAGCCAGGGTTGATGGTAGGGGAAGGGAGGAGCCTGTGTGGAGCGGCGGGGTGCCCTGGGTGGTGGGGATGGGTGCCGATGCCCAGGGTCATCTGGTGGACTAAAGCGCAGCCGTGATGGTGGGAGAGCCCAAAGCCGTGCTGGAGGAGGGGGGGAGGAGGGGGGCGAGAAGGCAGGATGGGGTGGTGGGCGGCAGTGAGGGGGCCGCCGGCGGGGTACGACAGCAGGGTGTGTGTGTGCGGGGCGGCTGAAGAGTGTGTTGGGCTGCTGTGGTGCAGGTGTGTGAAGGTGTGTGTGTGGACAGTAGGCGGGATGAAGGCGTGCGGTCGCAGAGGCCCATAGTTGCCGTTCCACTCCTTGTTGCTGTGGTTTGAAGCGTACGGCTGCACCTGGTGGAGATAAACGACGAGACGTTTACCCGCCAGCTCCGAACAGCCGACAGCAGATTACTTCTAACGCCACCGAGTCAGAACCGAGGCAGCGAGGCACCAAGTCTCTTTTAAACAGATGGAAACGCCGCTACGGCGACCCGATGCAGCCAAATTAAGATTTTCTACCGTTAACCTCCAGTGATCTCACCTGACCGTAGCCCAAAAGGGGGTGCTGCTGCTGCCCCGTCACCGTTTGCTGCCAGGACAAGATGGGGGCGGATGGGAGGAGGGGGGGGATGGAGGAGGCAGTGCTCTGCTGTCCTATGAGGCCGCAGCGCCCTCTGGACCGGGACCAGGACTCTGACGCTGAGGCAGACAGGAAACAAAAACCAGTTAAAACCGACTGCAGACCTGAATAAACACTTCCAACAAAAGTCCACACCAAAGGAAAAGCATCCCATTCAAATACACAAAATCAGACGCAGCTTTTAAAAATCTGCAGTTCAAACGGAACAAGTTCTGCTTCAGCGGGTTTCAAAGCTACAATGGCTAACCTGCACAAGCTAGCATAAACGTGTTTATGCCTCTTAAAGGGACTTTATGGAATTTTGAATTTTTATGCTCGTGATTGCCCCCTCAGGCCAAAAGCGTAACGGCAGCTTCAATAGTAGGCTCGTGCACGAGGCGCGCATGCTGTACGTGCACACTCCTTAACGAAAATAACAGCTGACAGTCCCTTGTGTGTGTGTGTGTGTGTGTGTGTGGCCTGGAGGACAGAGGACAGGAAAACGCGCAGCTAATTATTTAAATAATGTGGTTCTGTACCTTTCTCTTCAGCACAGCCGACAAAGGTTTATGATGGGTCAGTCCTCCTGCATGCTCAGATCATTCCCTTCCCTTGCTTGAAAAATTGTTCCAAAATGAAAGTTGAACCCACATCTTTTTTATCTGTGAATTCAATGCCGTTCGGCGAGTCTCAAATAAAAATCTGGGCATCTTACTGTAAAAAATATACCATTAATGTAAAAAAGAAACTCTAAATAAACTATGTTCACATCCAGAATCAAACCCAGGTCTTCAGCATGAGAGTCAGACGTCTTACTAGGTGAGCTACACTCTAGTAACATTCACAGTATCTGTAACATTTATATCCTTGATGACAGCTGAAACAACGTCAAACCAAAGAACGGTTCGGAGTGAAAATGGCTATTTTGTTGCTAATTTGCAGGAAATATCTAGAAGAAAGTTCTACAGAAAGTAGCTAAGGGTCCTCAGAAATGTAGCTAGCTTTGTCACTAGGCGTTAGGAACAGCGACAAAGTGGCACTGCCTCTCTCTCTGCTGCTAAAGCTACGGATAGCAAATGCTACGGGCGATGCCTGAGCGTGAACGCGCATGAAGCAGCCTGCTCGACCCGAGCATCTCTCTTTTTCTGTGATTTTACAGAAAAACAGGCAATCACAGTAAAAATGCCAGGGCTCATTCTACAGGACCAGGGCATTGCAGGAGAATGTATGAAGAAGACATTTATTATTTCTATATTTGGCTGTCAGACTTCCATAATGTCCCTTTAACATTCTAACAGAGTGGCTATAATAAAAAATAAATAATAATAATAATTATTATAATATATCATCATACATTTCTCCCTGAATCACATACTTGGATCTTGAAAACCACCGCAAAGTCAACAGTTTTAAATCTTTTGAAAGTCAAAGAGATTTGTGGCACTCAGAAAGGATCGTGTAAAAATAAAGTTGGTCCCGAGACGCTGATCTGTATCAGTTTTAGAACTGGTGGGAGGAGCAGAAGAGTAAAACTGATCTCACATCAGCGCCCTCGGAGAGAGAACCAGCAGAGACAAATAAAAAGCAGATTCAAAACCAAATAACATGCATCCACTTTCCCTCCACAAGAGAAAAACAACATCTTCATGTTGAAATTATCATTTTTTTCTCTTAACTCGTTCACCGCCATGTTTTTACTGTGTGGGCGTCGGACGAGCCCCCGCACCGTGAGAACAAACATCTCAGCTGTAAAGCCGATCTTCATCCGCGTACGTCACACGTCACGTGATCAGGAAGCAGAACATCCGTGTGTTAGGAGATCATTTTGGGCCGCTGCTGTAAAAAAGGTGAGGCGCAAACCGGAAAAGCTTCTGTCGATCACAATTCAACAACGGATTATGAAAGAACGGATAACGCTTGAAACGCGCGGATTCTTCCTGCTGTAAGAGGTGAGTCTCCACTTTGTTTTGATTGTTTTGGCGTCGACGTCAACCTAGCGTGCAATAGGGATGGGTACCTTTGACATTTGAATCGATTCGGTACTAATTCCTGGTACCTAGGAATCGATACCGGTACTTAACGGTACCAATTTTCGATACTTTTGACTGTTTATTATTTTAATTCTCTTTTATAATTAAATATATATTTTTCTCAATATATAACAATATTTGATAAATATCACGATAAATAACATTCAACTGTTTGTATTTTAACATCGTCCTTGTAGTTTTATAAGCTGATAATTAAACTGAAGCAAACATGTTTACTGTGAACTAAATTTACTGTGTATCTTCATTCCTTTTGCCATCTTTTTCATTTGATTTTTCCTACTGGGAAGTTAGAATTTCCGAGGAGAAAGCGAACGCACCATTAGCTGATAACAATGGTGGCTATGGAAGCTAACATATCAAGCTAACGTTATCTAAAACAGTTTATTTAGCTGCTGGAGCAGATTAAAACGATGACGCCTCACACTTAGATCGTTGTCGCTGGTTTCATCTTCACCCAATCACCCGTCGCATTTAGTAAAGTGAAGCCAAACTTTAGAGTGCGTTCATGTTCTTCTAGTCGGGAATTCGGAGTTCCGAGGAGAAAGTGAACGCACCATTAGCGGAACGGAAGCTAACATATCAAGCTAACGTTATCTTAAGCGTTTTATTAACCTACCGGAGCAGATTAAGATGAGGATGTCTCACTTAGATCGTTGTCGCTGGTTTCATCATCACCCAGTTACCCATCACATTTAGTGAAGTGGACCCAAGCTTTAGCGTGCGTTCTTTCTACCATGCTGCTCTGTTTACAACTCGCTCGCAGCGACCGACGACATAACGCTCTTGCGCATGCGCAGCTGTCTAGGCAAGTTCTCCTTATAAAGGACGGGTACCGAAACAAGGCACCGTTTGAAACGACGTGAATCGGTGCTCAGTCGGTACTATGGAATTCGGTCGGTACCTTAAAAAGTACCGAATTTGGTACCCGTCCCTAGCGTGCAACGTTCTGTCACTCTTAAAAAAAAACTGTAAAAACGGTGAGAAACGCCAGCAGTGAATGAGTTAATTACTTTGAAAAAAAAAAAAAAGCCAGTGGCAGGCCAAGAATACTCTGATTAGGAGTTATTTCCGGGATTAAATAAGAAATCTGTAATTCTGTAGAACAGATGTAGCTTTAATGGAAGGAAAGTCATAAATAATGGTGGCAACACCAGCAGCTTGCCTAATATGGATGCATATATGTGGTAAAAGTCTGAGAAAATATCTGCTGGTGTCTCTTCATCACCTGTTAAAGCCTCTATGAGCCACTAGGGGGCGGTAAGCCCCCAACGTTCCCATATGACCTGCAAATGTGGCCAACACACGTGACAGACCACACCAGGGCGGTTAGAGGAAGGCACATTCACGGTTCTAGCTGAAGCATAAGGGTTGTTTTTATTGTTCTGACCTGTCCTCTGGACACGCTCCTCTGTCCTCTGAGTGTTGTTGTTGCTCTGCACTCTCATTGGTGGAACTACCATGGTCCGGATGCCACGAGGACTCCTGTCCTGCTCGGCGGCTAGCGGTGGGCGGTTGTTGTTGTTGTTAAGGTAACGGTAGGCGTTGTTGCCACGCGGGGAGGTGGAGGTGTCAGACGTGGGCGAGCCTTCCACCGTGTCGCAGCCGCTCTCGTGGCCGTCATCCTCTGACATGCTGGGGGAGGAGATCCGAGCAGCAGGTTTAGGATGAACATGACGTGGTTTTTAAGTCAAAGACAAGTGCATCCTGTCGTTACCTGTTGGGCCTTTTGCACGGTGAGGCCGAAGGGCTGGACTGGAGAGAGTTGGAGGCGAACGAGCTGGTGCTGAGGCTGCTGTCGGGGCTGCTGAGGGAACACACCCTCTCCATGGACACACTGGTGTTCCTGCAAGCCTCACACACACATTCCTCTTTACACCTGCAGGCAGAACATAACAGGTTTCTTAGAACCACTGCAGTACCGGTCTGGTTTGTTTACGCTGAACCACATTCATCTAGAACGTAGGGCTGGGGGTAAACGATTATTTTTAAAACAATTAATCTGACAATTATTTTATCAAATAGTCGCCTATTCTAAGGACTATTTAGATGATTAATCTAACGATTATTTTTCTATTGCACAGTTAATAAAAACCAGAAAATCTCGAATAAATTCCACAAAAAAAATGATAAGTTGTTACTGTAAGAGAATAAACACTACAGGCCTTCCACTTTGTATAACGCTGCTTTTATTGTGTTGGTTGGTTATGTTCTGGTGACGTGTAGAACTTGGGAGTGCAGGCTGCTGCCTGAGAGGTGGTTGGAGACGGAGTGTCTCCATGCTGCTTTGTTTTGGTCACTTATGTGCGTGAGGCGAGTGGTCTTACGACCCTTCCTGGGGAGTTTGGCTCGTGTGCAAAAAGGAAGGGACAACAACGGGATTTAACCCTTTGATGCATAATGGTCACTACAGTGGACAGGTACTCAAAATTGTTATTTCTTTATTTTTGCTATTAAGCACAGCTGTTGAAGACTTTATTGCATGTGAGCCCCTCCGTTTGGACTTCAGTAAGTCAAGCCACCATATTTCATGTTCAGAATGCACACTGTCCACTGAGGTGGACGTGTAATAAATTATTTGTAAATTAACAAAATGTTACAAAAAATATTTGTTGAAAGTTGTTTCATTCACACCTGAAGATGAATGAAAAAAATTGTTAAAAAAATCATGGGTGAAGATTTCATAATTCATGCATCAGAGGGTTAAAAGTTAAAATGATGATCAGGTTTATTTACAACTACAAAAAAACAAACCTTTCCATCCACAGGTTGGGAATAATAAACTAATTCTGCCTGTGGGGAATTAAAACAAAAGTACAAATAACTAGGGATGTCCCACTGGGCAAAGATTACAGGGTTCTGGACCAAAATAAGGATCTCCAAAGGTCCAAACTCTGAACTGGGTGGTTAAACCAAACTCAGGTGATATTTTAAACTAAACCGAAAACCCACAACACTCTAAATGCAATAAAAGGGAGATCTGCACCACAAAAAAGATGAACTCTAAACCAAAACGTAACAGCTTATCCCAACGCAAGAAGCTGTTAGCAAAAATGCTAACAGTAGCTTTACCAACGTTAAGTTCAAGTTACCAAGTTTAAATAAACCAAAAACACCCAGCAGCAAACAGACCAGCACGGAGGAGAGACTGCTACCACCAAAACAGCTCTCCTCATGTCTGAAAGAAGCTCCTTAATGAAGGGAGAAACGCTCGTGGTGATTTTCTACGTCTGCGATAGAGACGGAGCAGCGCATCTGACCCCGGAAGTTGTTGTCCGTTGCCGGGAGACGAAGGCGGGCAACACCGGAAAGGAATCTAGTAGCGGACGGACGTTGTTCCGGGTCTTCGGTATTTGGCGGAGATGTTAGTGAAGGTGGAGAAGAGGGCGAACTAAAGGAAAAACAGGCATATTCCACCTCTATTTACAAACTCCTGGGGATGCAACAAGTGGGCGCGGTGCGTCGACTTCCGGATCTGACGTCGACGAATTTTTAGAATCGAGCCGTCGACGTCGTCGACGCTTCGCTACAGCTCTACTACAGCGTAACACAAATAAACCAGGGGACATCAACTCAGTCACAATTTTTTTCCTCGGGTTTCCAGAAGAACTCCTCACCGACTCAGGTGGCGCCCTCGAGGAGCTTCGTTCCCCACCTCATCATCACTCAGGTCGCTGCGGATGCTGATCACGCTGGGAGCCGGGCTCGGCGTGTCTGTCATGAGGGCCACCACGTCTCGCTGGGGTTGCCTGGAGGGATCCACCCGCCTGGTAGCTCCCAGCGCAGCCTCTTTGAAGCACCGCTCTTCCTGCTCTGGGACTTCTTCTCTTTCATTTCCGTTTGGGATTTCTGGTCGCCGAGTCTCCACCGCCGGCTCCTCCCTCTGAGCCTTCTCTCTTCCTGCCACGGCCTGTCCCACAACGTCGAACATTTTGGGGGACCGACACACCGACACGTGGAGGTTGCTGGGATGGGACTGGTTTCTTTCACAGAGAGTAGTGAAATTAGAAAAACATAACGGTGTTGGTGTTACCTTCAAGATCAGATCACACTCTTACCTGTTGTGTCCTTGTCGGTTTCGTTTATTGGCTGTCTGGGGCCACACAACGTGAGCTATGCCGATGTTGATTGGCTGAGGAGCAGAGAGGGCGGGCATCTGATTCAGGAGAGGCTGCTGCATCACAGCGTTAAAATGGCTGCCGTGTGTGCGCAATTTCCTGTTAAAAAGATGGAAGCCGTGCGGTCAAAGGCTTGATTATACAGCGTTCGTATTTAAAATCAAAATAAAAACTAAAATAAAACATAAAAAGTTGAAAAAATAATTAAAATAAAATAGAAGATAAAGAAGAATAAAAGAAACACGGAGAAGGTGGTTATGGAAAACAGCTGGAACTGATGAAGGTCAGCGCGCGCGTCGCTCCACGTCTCCTGAAATGTTTTATGTAGGACGTGTCAGAGGAGGAAACTTGCTTCGAAAGCTCCTAGAGGAAGCACCAACGCGGTGATCCTCCAAAGCGATGCAAACCAGATTCATCAAAAAGACCGGAAAGGCAGCCGGTAAGACGCCGATTTGTAACGCGTGTGTGTGTGTGTGTGATGCCGATCAGCTGATGGATGATTGTTCAGCGCAGCTCGGAGCTGGCTCTGTAGACTCGGGTGCGCGTGCGTCATAAATGTTTGTGTTGGGTGTTTACTAATCAACTTGGTGTTTGATTGTTCAATAAGTTATTTCAAATATGCTAATTATTTAATGTTTTGATATAAAGTTGAGTCACAAATAGTTGCAATGATGAATTTAAAGAGCAAGTTGCAGGTTAGAGACTCCCATGAACCGATGTTTAGAGAAACATAATAGAAACTCGGTTTAAACTTTTTTTTTTTTTACACAAACATAAATTATAACCCCAAATTCCACTACCTCCGCTCCGCTCCGGCACGAACGCCGGAGCAAAATCGGTCCCATAGTAGTCAATCAGAGCAATTCCACTACTGCGGCCGTGCGGCGCCGTGCGCCACCCTCTGTTCCGGCGTCCAGCAAAAATAGAATCGATCCTATTTTCGCCGGACGCCAGAGCACCTCCGCAGTAAATGGACAGAAATCACAAACGCCCAACAGGAAAAGGAGCAAGCACAACTTCCGTTTTTCACAATAAATCGATAAACAAAAGGCGTTTTTTGTTTCATATGCACAGGTTTAACAACTTTTAACAACTATCAATGGCGGCTGAACTTTAAATGCACAAAAATAAGCCATAAATACAGTTTCTACTATAAAGTAGTCACCCTTTGTTGATCCAAACACTGCTGATCTCTCAACACAAATGATGGGCAGATTAAACGGTTCATGCCGATGCTTCTCCCACACAACGGGTGTTTGGATCTAACTTCCGCGTTTATTGCTCGGACTGTATCGCAAGATCTCGAAAATCCCGCACATGCTTGTTTGCCTACCTCAGGTCTCCGCACCGGAGCGGAGCCGTTGTAGAGCGGGTACCAAGAAAAATTGAGTTCGGAAGCGAGCGGCTGCGGAAGGTGGGGGCGGACCGGAGCGGAGCGGAGGTAGTGGAATTTGGGGGTTAGGCTTTTAGATCATTTTTGTGAGAAAGTTTTTTTTTGGCCAAACCAAGTGACGTCATCTGAGGGAGTCCTGTCAGCTTAATCCAGTGAAAAATATAGATTATAATGCAGCGCTGACACAGAGGAAACTTCAAATGTTTACAAATCTACTCATGATGGACCAAAACCATAAAGTAATGAGTCTGCTGCTCGCCCCAGAGAGCGGAGACGAACCAGAGGGAGAAACCATCGGCCAAAGCAGAGAGATTAAGGGGGGGGGGGGTCTGCTGAGTTAACATGTTAGCTTAAACTCGTGTGCTCACATCACAACATAGTACTGATTACTATCGTGTACCAGGCAATTAAAATAGTATTGGTCAGTTAATATAATATTAATACTAATGAGCATCTGTCAGCGGTCTCATACTCGCTAACATCCGTTCACGTAACGTAGTTTAGCTCTTAGAGAGGGAGAGAGGCGCCTATGATCTGGTTCTGGAGCTCATGTGGGTTTAGAGCTGGACCATAAGGGTGGGCAATATAAACGATATAAGGTAGAAACGATATAAAATTGGGTAATGATAAGAGTTTTGGGCTATATCGCAATACCGCGATAACACAAGACGTCACTAAGACGTGCACCCTGCTGACATCGGGGCAACAGAATGGCAGTGACTGCAAGCATGGAGAGGGCGGAGGAGGAGGCCTATATGCCTCAAGTGGCAGTTATTTGCCACATGAGGATATTTAAAAGCATGTCATTTTGACATATATAAACAGAGGAAGAAATATATCGCAATATATATCGTTACCGCACATGCTTCAGATTATATCGCAGTACAGATTTGAGGCCATATCGCCCAGCCCTACTGGACCCCACCCAGACATCAGCGAGACAGTCGAACTGGTGTTTTTAAAAGCTGCACACGATCCTTCCCTAAAGGTCCACGGCGGTTCTGATCCGGTTCCGACCCAGAAACCAGCTGGCCCGCTGAGCCGCCCGTCTCTTCTGGTGGTCGGTTCTGTCCTGGTTCTGACGGTGATCTGAGCTCCAGAAATCCGCATATAATTTTTTAAACCCCGCCTCAGGTCTCCGGTGCCCAGCGCGGACCTCCCTGACCCGGTACTGACCGATGTGGGCTACAGAAGTCCGTCTTTTCAGCTGCAGAAACGCCCTCAGGCACGGAGATAGAGGCGTTGTTTCTCTTGTCTGGAAACCCGGGGACTCGATGTCCGGACAGGCTGGAGTCGGTACAGCCTTCACACACTCTAGTTTATCACCATGAACACAATCCAACACTAGTAAACACACACTGAATGGATCACATGACCTCTCTACCCTACAACTAGCCAATCTCCACATGGAGCGGAGGCAGCCGAGCTTCTAACTCCCTTTGGTTACGTCAGAGGTTCACATTTAGAAACAAAAACTCGGCTGTTATGTATTTTAAAACCAAATATCCACAATAAGCTTTTAAATAGTATTTTTGGACAGCATTTTATATGAATTAGAAAAAAAATTTACCTGCAATTTGCTCTTTAAGTGAGTTAGGGTTCGAAAGAATTAATCATGTATTTATTTTATAAATGTTAGCTTATATGGATATAATGAAATTTTACACAATGACACCGTTTCTTAGTACATACACTGTTTTTGTTTAGGCTGTCCACCTGCTCGTAGGCTTTGCCTTGCTTCATGCTTCGCAACCTCCTATTTCCATTTTAACTGATATGAAATGAGAATGAAATAAAGGGAAATGAAAAGTGAAGTTATGAAGTCCTGAGAGGAATCCTGCACATTTTTCTCCAGCTACATGATCCCTTTCAAGTGGGGATTGTGTACCACACAAATAACTTGACAGTGAAAAACCGGCTGCCTCTCCGGTCTTTTTGATGAATCTCGTTTGCATCGCTTTGGCAGATCACCGCGATGGTGCTTCCTCTAGGAGCTTTCAAATGAAAAGAAAAAAACAAACATGATTCAACAACACAACTGTACAAACGGGGGTTCGGTGACTCACCCCCAGTCACTGATCCTCTGTGGACAAGCTGCGGTGTCACTGGTTAAGGAGGAAGGAGGTGGTGGGGGTGGGTGAGAGGGGGGAGGACCCACAGGAGTCATCTGCTGCCACGCTGCTGGAACCAGAAGCTGCTGGCCTCGACTAGACCAGGCCTGCTGCGGGAACAAAGCAAGAAAATCTGAGTTGTTAGGCAAACGTGCTGATTTTCCATCAGTGGCGTTCAAATCAAGGCCAAAGATCAGCATCAAAGTCAAAGCTGTGCTCAAAAAATACCAAAAGGAGACCAGAACTAGTAGCTTGGAGATGAATTAATCTAACTATTGCTGCATCCTAGAGCACGTTGACATCTAACATTCACCATGTCACAAACTCAAAGACTAATTCTGCATCAAGAACAAAAAAAACAGCTTTAAGTTCTGAAGGTTCCCAGGTTAGAGGTGGAGGGTTTGGGTTCGATGACGGGTGTGGTCTCGCTCAGCGGTAATCATGAGATTAAGTCGCTCTGCTGCTCGGTCTTCATGGCTGAGAGCGTAAACAGGCGCTCAGTGTTTCGGCTTACCTGAGCTATCACACCAGGTCTCACAGGTAGGGGCTGGATGGGAGGGGCTTGAGTTACCATGGGGACGGGAAAGCCTGCTGGCTGATTAAGGTTACCTAAAAAAAAAAAAGAAAATAAAACACTTGTTCAGGATAATGTTCCATTCGTTTACATGGAGTGGAAACTCATTCTGCAGCCAGCCACTAGAGGGCGCCTTCTGGAACAGTCTATTTGGAGTTAACTGGCTAATTTAACGGCAACAACATTTTCTACATTTAAAAAATACAACCTGCCTTTGATATTTGTAAAATAAAGTCAAAATAACAAATGTTAATCACTGTAAGGCGTAGTCTGGGCACCTTGCATCGCGGGAGGACAAAGAAGAAGAGCAGGTGGAAACGAATCAGTGCATCCAAACTGAGCATTTCCTGTGGTTAGAGCTATCCCATGATGCAACACTGATGGAGCCGACTGGGTTATAGACTACAGGAGAGAGGTGGCAGAGACGGAGGAGGTGGAGCGGGATGGTGCAGAGCGTTGATGAGGACAAAAGGAGGACAGAAAAATTCAAACGCATTAGAAATTAGAAAAACGTAGCAATGCTGACATCGTTAAAGTCATTTCTAAAACCTCCAAATACAACATGACTCGTCTCACCTGGGTGTGGACTGGGATGTTGCTGTAGCCCAGTGGAATGCTGGGGGCGGGGCCTAAAGGTGGCCGGGTCAAATGGATGGTGTTCTGGTTCAAAGCATCAAAAACTGCACTGTTGGGCCGAGTGTGGCACATGTCCATAACGCGGAAAGATGACTGAACACTGAGAGGCAGAGACAGAGAAGTGTGTTTATTCATCGAGTCCATTATTCCTAACCTGCAGCCATTGCTGAAGACGGCATCTTACTGGTTACTGTGGGGGAAGTCCAGTAGGTGAGTCATGGTGAGGAACGGGTGATTTAGGACACACGAGGGAACCGTCCTGTCCTCGGCGTCGATCAGCAGCATGCTTTTGAGAAGAGACACAAACTCCCGCCTGTCTGCCTTCTCTGCTTCCATGTCGCTGTTATCAGGAGTCAGAACCAAGTTCACCTGAGGTCACCAGACGAGAGGACAACGAACGTGTTGGATCAAATCAAAACAGCTGGCAAGCCTTCAGAATCACTCGTCTCATCGACTAATAGCTGCGGCTCCCCGAGACAAGTTTAGAGAGGGGATTTTCTGGGAGAGGGTAAGGTGACGAGGAAAACATGATGGCTCGGTCCGGACGTTAAAATGTCAGCATAGGGCTGGGCGACATGGACCTGAACTTCTATCTCGATATCATTTTGCTGAATTCCGATATACGATATATATCTCGATATTTTTCCTCCTGTAAAATATTTACAAGTTAACTCACTTCAAGCTGTCTTGAGAAATTATACATAAATCAGTAGATTAAATGCATAAAATGTATTGATTCATGTCAAACTTTAACCTTAGTGCCTCTGGCACAGCTGTCTGTTAACACACACACACACACACACACACACACACACACACACACACACACACGATGGAAAACAGAACTCCGTTGGTGTTAAACGTCCCCAAATAATTAAAAACCAGGACGCCAAATGCAAAGTTTAGAGCAGCACATTTACCTAGAGGCTCTCAGACTGAGCAGTCTTGGGAGAATACACGTAATAACCGCTTAGAGACAGAGCAACATGTCGCTAGCATAGCGGCTAATCGCTAGCATAGCAGTTTGGCCAGCTATGCCAGTCATCTTGTATCTTGTTTCAAAATTATATCCATGTTTAAAAATTATCGATATATCGCCCAGCCCTATGTCAGCATATCCTTTTTGGCAGTGAGTGACATCACTGATCAGCGTCAAAAGGTGCCCGCAGCAAAAGAGATCCAAGATGGTTTCCGTTTGCTATGTTGTTTTCTAAATACCGCAGGAACAACTTTTCCATTTTCTTTTCCTTCCATTTCTGCTTAACCAGTAACTCTTCTACTTTTAGCAATGCCAGTTGTTCTGCGGCGTCTGCTGTCATTTCCCACTCAGTACAACCAATCAGCATGGGCCTACTGAGCCATTTCTGAGTAAATGCCCCAGTTCAGATACTCGACTGGTCCCTGAAATGGCTCAAAGTGGTCCTTTCAGTCCAGCTAGGTGAAACGGGAGACATGCTCATACCGTGAAGGTCTGGTAAAACTACCCAGAAGTTCTGATAGTGGAAACGGCCCGTCGTGTGTGTTTCTATGGAACCCTACCAAAGAGATGTCTCTGTGCTTGGGCCACACCCACCAGCTGAGTGAATGCAGACTGCATGAGTGGCTCAAAGACACAGAAAACACAACTAAAGGAGGAAGAGATTTGCAACTGACTGTTCAAACTAAATCAACAGGAAGGCCCTTTTTGTGGTGTTAGAAGAAGAGAAACTGTTCATGCAGATGACTGGACTTCTCCGTTGGTTTCATATAGACTCCACTCCCACAGATTTAAGAGTCCGTTTTTTCTTTGGGAGCGATTTGATCCCAGTCAGTCGGACTTACGTGTGCCACATCATCCAGGCAGCTGAAGATGTACTTTCTGGCCTCTTTGGATTTAAGTCCCGTCTCTTTCTCATGCTCCTCAGTTGTCTGGAGAAACAACAGGAACACCAGGGTTAACATTTTCCCACGTATAATTAATTAAGTCCCGTTACGGTGTGTAATGGGTTAGTATTATGGTCCAAACAAGCTTTCCAGCCTGTGGCTCGGTTTTCACAGCCTACCCTCAACCGTCCGTGTGCTGAAAGCTGCTGTGAGCCTGGATTTGTTTCAATAATAAGCAGTGAAAATATTAGATGAGTCAGCAGCTTGAAGTGCAGGTCTGTTTGGTTCAAGAGTTCAAAATAAAATTAAATAAAATTAAAAATTAAATTAAAAATAAATAAAAATGAAACTAAAAATAATAACTTAAATTTAAATAATCAAATCTAATCAAATCTAATAATTAAATAAAAGAAAAAAGAAAAACATTAAATAAAAAATTATAAATAAATAAAAACAAAAATAAAAATAAACAAACATTTAAATATAAATTATTAAAATAATCTAATCAAATCTAATAATAAAATAACATAAAAACATTAAAAATTAATTTAAATCATTATTAAAATTATTATTAAAATTTAAATAATCAGATCTAATAATAAAATAAAATAAAATAAAATAAAGACTTTTTCTAGTTGCTTCAGGAGCAGCTAAATTGCGGGTGGTCCGGCCGTGACTTCACACAGAACATAAAACAGCAGCATAAGACTTGACAAGTACACAAAAACGTACACATTATGTACACAGCTTAATACAGAATGATGAGATAAGCTCAGAGACTACATTTTCAGGCTTTATTCTAAACAGTTTCACATTTCCCCGAGCATTCCTCGGGCTGATAGCTCCATACTGTTTGGAGAGGCTTTCGCCTGGTAGAACTCTGCCACCTGGTTCCCAACTTTACCAGGATTCCTAGTTATTCGCTCACCCGTGTCCCAGCTACCCAGAGTGCAACACTTACAGTTATGTGTGTGTGGTTTTATAGAGAGACGTTACGGTTACAGGTGTGTGTGTGAAGTTGCAGGTGTGTGTGTGTGTGTGTGTGTGAAGTGAAAGCAGACACCTTTAGTCTCCAGGAGGCGTAGGGGGAGTCGGATTCTTTGGTGAAGAAGCGTGAGGTCTTCGTCCCCTTGTTGAGCAGCTGCTCGGCTGGGAGCCCCTGCGTCTGAGAGATGTACCGGATCTGAGCGGAGCGGGGAAGAGACGAGGAGCAGAAAAGGTCAAAACCATTCATCAGTGTGATTCTTTCAAACCGAGGCGCTTTGGTCAAGCAAATCCGCTCATTTCTGCAACTCGTGACTGATTGTATCTAAAGTTTCCAGTAAAACCTAGCCAATGAAAAGAAATGCATCAACTTTGTATTTCTTCATTTATTCAAACACACAATATACACATATTTGTTCTCTCTATCACAATCAGTTATTTTTGTACCACTGGAGTTTCTTAGAATTCATTCAAGATTTAAAAATAGTTTGTATGTTAACCCGAATTTTGTGTTTTCGTCCAAAGAAATGAGCCACAAGAACAGAATCCAAACAGATGGATCACATTCTGTGAATAAAGCCGACATTTTGACCAAAAAGAATCCTTGTGAGGAAGTCAAATGTTGTAACGGTTCAATCCATTACACAGGAGAGTTTGTTACACAGTAAAAAAAACAGCTGAATAATAAAAATCCTTGTTTTAATCAAAGGATCCAAAGTCTGGTCTGATAACAGTTTGTCTTGAATATCCAACAGCGACACTTATTTTAACATTGCTCACTGCAAACAGACTTTTGTATAACTTTTGTTTTCATGAGCAGAGTTTCTTTTATTGTTTATATCTGAACTCGTTAGAGAATGCTAGAAAAAGAAGATGCTTTGCGTGAGAATCCACGCACGCGTCTGGAGCCTAGAACAAACACGCGGTCCGACCAGAGGGTGCTGGACTGAGAACCTGCTGATGGTGCACTGAACACTAACCCAACTGTGTGCATGTGCAAGCGTGTGTGCACGCGCGTGACTGTGCACATGTCTACCATCAGGCTTATGTTTATAAATACATTTTGCTGTGTAGAGTGGAACAGCAAGCCTTGGCATAGAGCAGCATGCTTTGGGGGCTCAGTGTGCACGCGTGGGTGTGCACGTGTGTCCTGACGTGGCCTGGAGACGCATCAGACCTGTCGGTGTGCAGCGAAGCCTCTGTCTCTTACTGATTCCTGTTTAAACAGCTAGCCGCTTTTTTTTCCCAAAGCAGATTAGAAACAATCTTAAATAGGGATTTTCCTTCCGACCACGATGTTTTGCTCTGGATCCGATTCAGAGTGATTTGATTTTAGGAATCTGCTGATTCTGAGTCCTCATCCGATACTTTATATATAGAAATGCATTAAAGGGACTTTACGGAGTTTTGAATTTTTATGCTCGCGGTTGCCCCCTCAGGCCACAAGCGTAAGGGCAGCTTCAATAGTAGGCTCGTGCACGAGGCATGCATGCTGTACGTGCACACTCCTTAACGAAAATAACAGCTGAGACAGTCGTGTGTGTGTGTGTGTGTGTGTGGGGGGGGGGGGGGGGGGGGGTGTCCCGGAGGACAGAGGACAGGAGAACGTGCAGCTAATTAATTAAATAATGTGGTTCTGTACCTTTCTCTTCAGCACAGCCGACAAAGGTTTATGATGGGTCAGTCCTCCTGCATGCTCAGATCATTCCCTTCCCTTGCTTGAAAAATTGTTCCAAAATGAAAGTTGAACCCACATCTTTTTTATCTGTGAATTCAATGCCGTTCGGCGAGTCTCAAATAAAAATTTGGGCATCTTACTGTTAAAAAAATATACCATTAATGTAAAAAAGAAACTCTAAATAAACTATGTTCACATCCAGAATCAAACCCAGGTCTTCTGCATGAGAGTCCAACGTCTTACTAGGTGAGCTAAAGCACCAGTGACGTCTTTTGTATCTGTAACATTTATATCGTTGATGACAGCTGAAACAACGTCAAACCAAAGAACGGTTCGGAGTGAAAATGGCTATTTTGTTGCTAATTTGCAGGAAATATCTAGAAGAAAGTTCTACAGAAAGTAGCTAAGGGTCCTCAGAAATGTAGCTAGCTTTGTCACTAGGCGTTAGGAACAGCGACAAAGTGGCACTGCCTCTCTCTCTGCTGCTAAAGCTACGGATAGCAAATGCTACGGGCGATGCCTGAGCGTGAACGCGCATGAAGCAGCCTGCTCGACCCGAGCATCTCTCTTTTTCTGTGATTTTACAGAAAAACAGGCAATCACAGTAAAAATGCCAGGGCTCATTCTACAGGACCAGGGCATTGCAGGAGAATGTATGAAGAAGACATTTATTATTTCTATACATGTTTTGACTGTCACACTTCCATAATGCCCCTTTAAGAAAAAGAGCACACTAGAGTTGTCCTTCAAGTAATTTTTAATCATTAATGCATTTCTTTCTTGCTGTATTTGTCATTTCTTTAGTTGTTTTGCCATAAAGCATCACTTGTTTAGGAAGTACATTAATAAAAAACGTGTTAATATTAAGAATAAACGTAAAAGTAGCCTTGTTGTTGCTCATATTTTAAATAGTTAGTAATCAGTGCGCGGCTGTTTTCAGCGACATGGATGACACGGCCATGACGGTCAGCAACAGAGTAACGTTTTTCTACAAAACACCTGTAGAGCTGCAGCGTCTGTAAAGGCAGGAAGAGAGAGCAGATCACACCATGACGGAAGGAGACTGCAGAACTGACGTTTGCAACCACAGACGCTCATCTATCTGATAAATGTGCTGCCATCTTGGCATTTTTACTGTGGTTTCTTAATGTGTCCTTTAGTGTCGGCTGGATTAGCTGAATTGCTGCAGCGAAGTGAGCAGTCGGTTTTTTAAGGTGGTGCATCAGAGCTGAACGCAGCACTACCTTAACCACCTCGTTAAATGCCCAGTTTGCACATGAGTTTTAAAAGTAATGTTTGTTGTTTTATATGGATTATCCTCTCAGTGGCCTACTGGCAGTGTGTCCGCCCTGGGACTGGGAGATCGGGGTTCAAATCCCAGTCGGGTCACACCAAAGACTTTATAAATGAGACCCATGCCTTCTTGCTGGACACCCACCTTTAAGGGGTTGGACTGGGGGGATAAACCACCAAATAGTTCCCGAAACCCGAGCGCAGCCACAGCTGCAGCTCATCGCTCCCCACGGGTACGGCTCAAACGAGGAGATGGATTTCACCAGTGTGTGATGACTAATGGGACTTTAACTTTAGATCTGATTTTCCCACTGATTCTGATTTCCTGAAAATCACGTGATTGGATCAGAACATCCCTAATCACAAGGGTGTTTTTGTTTATTTATTTATTTAACTTCAGTTAAACTCTTCATGCTAAACCTAAATCTCTTCTCCACTGAGCCGCCTGTGGGTAAACAGACCATAATCCTGTACATGTCTGTGAATGAGGAACAGGAGCTTTCCCAGGCTTCCTCTCCTCTGCCTGTGGGCTCCAGTTAAGAGTCCCAGTTGTCCAGTTTAGACCTCACATGGGACCAAAGTCACAAAACACTAAGACAACCTCCTGGTGTTTTTAGGTTGTGTTTGATGAACTTCAGTCACACAATGTGTGTGTGTGTGTGTGTGTGTGTGTGGGGGGGGGGGGGGGGTCCTAACATGATTCAACTGAATCACAACGAACCATACACTTTTAATGTTCCTCAGCATCGCGTTATTGAACACATTTAACTCGTTCACTGCCAAGGACGGCAAAAATCGTCATTTGCATGTTTTTACTGTGTGGGCGTCGGACGAGCCCCCGCACCGTGAGAACAAACATCTCAGCTCCAAAGCCAATCTTCATCCGCATAAGTCACACGTCACGTGATCAGGAAGCAGAACATCCGTGTGTTAGGAGATCGTTTTGGGCCGTTCCTGTAAAAAAAAAAAAAGAGGCGCGAACCGGAAAAGCTTCTGCCGATCACAATTCAACAACGGATTATGAAAGAACGGATAACGCTCGAAACGCGCGGATTCTTCCTGATGTAAGAGGTGAGTCTCCACTTTGTTTTGGTTATTTTGGTGTCGACATCATCCTAACGCGCAACGTTCTGTGACTCTTAAAAAAAACAGTAAAAACAGTGAGAAACGCTGGCAGCGAATAAGTTAATAAAACTGGTTTTTAACAGTTAGAAATTCAGAATCGCTTAAATTAAAACTGAAACGCAACCAAACAGATTATACCCCAATAACAAAATAAATCATGAAGAAAGACAAAACACATTTTAAGTTCCCGGTTGGCAAGCATGTGATCCAGCTTTTTTACTTCCTGCTTGTGTGTAGAGGAGTTACCTGGTCATACTCCAGCGCTCCGGGATAGAGAGGCCAGCCCAGAAAGAGTTCAGCTATCACACATCCAAGCGACCACATGTCAATGGCTTCGCAGAACGGCAGCCCCAAAATGATCTCTGGAGCCCTGCAGAGAGGAAGTCAGGTGGAAACTGGTCAGCGCCACACCAGAGAGGACAACAGATCCATCTGGGCTGCATGCAGAAACGTCTAAGACAAGTTTGTTCAGAATCTATTTTAATAAAATCAGGAGAGATGATCTTAGAGAAGGAAGTGAAAAGTGCAAAACACTCCAGACAAACATTCCTTTCTCTAAATGACAACAACAGTCAAAGTGGATAGGTTTACCCACAATGCACCATGGCTCTTCTGGTCAAAACCAAACACCTCATATAAGCACAAATTCTAGCTGCTAGAATAGTGGTGGAAGGCTAATGGTTTGGGCTTGTTCTGCAGCCACAGGACCCGGTCACCTTCCACAATCAGAGTCAACCAGAAACTTCTCTAAGAAAAAATGTGAAAATGTTTTAACTATTAATGTTTACAAATCTGTTGTTTCATTCAGACATTCCAACAGCTAAAAAAACAGAAAAATAAAAAAGTGCCTTTGCTGCTCTTTAGGTACTTAAAACATGTTCTGTTCATTGGAATTTGACAAACACGGCCACCAGAAGCAACCCCCCCACACACACACACACACACACACACACACACAAAAACACCAGTGTTAGGCTCCACAGAAAAGCTGTGGGACTCTGTTAGCTTGTTGCAGGAAAAAGGTGAAATGATGTGTGAAGATAATAGATTTCTAGACCAGGAGACAGAAGCTGAGCAACACGTCTACAAATAGAAACCACTGCTGTGACAGCCACAGGGGAAATGACCGTTGCCAAGCAACAAGTGGACGCAAGATCATAATGAAACTATTACAGGGTGAAAAATGGAGATGGTGATCCGGGTGTCTGATTGTGTGTGAGTGTGTGTATGCTTCACACAGGCCATACTTTCTCCCCTCCCGCGCCAGAAGGCAACTGAACTTCGCCATTTCCTATCGCTGCTCCAGAGGAACTATTTCAGCTATAAAACAACCAACAGGACCTCGAGGTGAGACTGCTTTAGATTTGTAGACATCTGTAAGACAACATGTGGGGAAACGACTGCGGTTCTCCTGGTTTCAAGCTGATTTTCACTCTTTCTTCATGTCAAACGGCGACTGAATGAGTTTTTAAGGCTTTTCTAATCTGATAAAAAAGCAAATAAAGGTCAACTCCCCAAAGCAAACACAGTTCAACTGAGGACAAATTAAGCAATAGCTCAAATTTTACTGAAAGCTTTGTGCTGACCGAGAAAAGAGGAAGTGTAAATGTTGTGATCATCTCTCTCTCTCTCTCCCTCCCTCCCTCCCTCCCCTCTCCAGTTTTTTCCCTTTCCCCCCTTTCGCCGTTGCGTTCCCTTCAAAGACTCTCTCACTGCATAGGAAATTACACTTCTCACATGTACCTCTAACAAAAAAAATAAAACACATACATGCACTTATATCTTGAACATACTTTTCTAAGATGAACATTTTTAATAACACAACTATTATTTGTGAACTTTATCAAAATATGAATAAACTTTTACTTTCTAAACCTTTGTAATGCCTCTCATTTATCCGGGCTACAATATCATGCATTTCATTAACATGCATTTGTGTTGCAAATGGGAATATTTAATTTCTGCTGCTAACAATGTAAGGGCGGCATGTCTATTATGTACGAGTTGGCAATAATCCAGTTTCAATCATTCAAAGATGATAGCGTTTATGAATTATATACTACAATGGCTTGCCGTACATCCTGCTCCTGAGCAGACTAGTAACAGTAATGTGACCCGTATCTGCAGCGGTTCTGATCCGTAGCGCTGCAGGATGCAGAATAAACAGGATGGTGGGGACTTTTCATCCGCTTGTAGAGTTTAGTCTTTTTTAGTTCTACGATCATCATATATTTTTCTGTGCGCCACTTGATCGTGACACTGCTACCCATTAGCTTTAGCATTAGCCAATCTGTGTGAAGCTGCACTTTTGATTCCAAACTTTGGACCGGTTCTGTCTTTGTGACTTTGCTGGTTGCTTTATTTTCCTCCACTGCATCCAGATGACCACACTGTGCGCCAGTAAAAAGCATTTTTCTTACACGTTACTTACTTTTGTTCAAAGTTCTGGGGAAAATAGTAATTCAAAGATGTTGCACCAGTGCTACGTTTAAAAATAGACACGCACACAGTTTTTTTCGTCGCACATACAGCCCTGCTCTGATATGGAAGAGCCTGGGGCACAATCAGGACGTCAGTAGCACCAACCCAAGCCCCCACAATGCGGGTGAAAAATTGAGGCCAACGCGGAAGTGAAATACATTGCAGTTCCACCTTCATCCACTAGGGGCTGGTGTCAGAAGCGAGCAAATCCTCATTGACTCCCATGTTAAAAATACCAATTTCACAGCAGAAATAAACATGTTTACAGCCTGGTACCAAAACATGTTTTTGGTTTAAATGATCTAGTTTACACTCATGACAACTCTGAGGGGGGTGAATGTTTTTCTCACTCTTCTGTTTAAGTGTATTAAAAGCCTAAAATTCTGTATAATTAATGAGCATCAGACCCACGTGACCACAGAGCTAGCTCCGTGGAAAGGCCTCAGTAGAGCCTCGGTCTGGCCTGGAAACTGCTCCGAGATTTTGAGTCTCTGTGTTTGTGTATTCTTGTTTGGATATTTTTAGTGCAATTTATGTATTTTAGATCACTGCTGAGCTGAGCTTAGATTTTAACATGTACTGTTTAACCATGAAATTTAAATGTAATAGGGTAAAACCCAGTGCATTTAACATAATGCTGCACTTTAGAAAATGGGTTGAAATATAACATGTTGGTGGAGCTGGGTTCCGACTATCGGCTTGTGGAGGTCTCGGGAGACCGATGTGTTCCACCTGTTTCTCCCCTCCCCGCAGCTCGGCGCATCTCTGTCTGCTGTGCGGCTGCCGGCTTGTGGAGGTCTCGGGAGACCTCTGTGTTCCACCCGGTTTTACCCAGCGGTCAGCCCGGCGTATCTCTGACTCAGAAGCTCCGGTGTTGTGCACAGTTAGCTCCAGTTGTAGCTAGGTTGCTACCTCCGTTAGCTTAGCTCCCACCTCCACATTAGCTTTGGGTTAGCTTGAAGCTAGTTCGACCGGGTGTTGTCAGTTGATCCCAGCCTTACAGCCCCACCCTCAGCTCCACTTCTCTTCCCTTTTGTGGAATTGTCTGGGCTTGACGGAACCTGTGACACGGTCAAAATGGCGGTGGTGGCCACCTCCCATTTTTCCTCAAAAACGTGTTATTGGAGCCTATGGAAACCCATTGTCCAATATTTATATGTTGATGCACCAACCATAGATCTGTACCAACCGGCGAGAAAAGCAAGTTTTGATCTTTTTCTGCAGCGGTTTTAGCACTTTTCGGTGCACCACTGCTGATACAGCGCCCCTGTAGAGGCGCAACGCTGCAACTGCAGTTACAATAACATCCATATTGACCCTTTGCACGTGACGTCACGTTACTCATGTGACCGCCGCCTTCGGCATGATGGACGGCAGAAAGACCGTTTACACCCGTAGAAACTCCAGTGAAGCTAGTCAACACAAGCCAGTTTGTAGCCTTTTATCACTTTTATTTAGTTGATTTGACAGTAAAATGGTTTTAGCTTGCTGCGTGGTCGGCTGCACTAACAGACAAGGACGTAAACTCAACTCGTTTTTTTCTTCTAAATAACTTTGATGGACACTGAGGACGGAGATGAACCGCAGCGATCAGTCAATCGAGCTGACTAGCAGGCCTCAGATTTGCAGCGAGCATGTTTTTACCGGGTAAGATTATCGTTCATTTATTTCACGAGGAAGACAGGGACAGGGATAAATGCGATGTGTTTATACGAGTTATTGATAATCCTGCGCTCCGTCCACTGTGGTGTAAAGCGAGACAATTATTAATATTAAAGCTCCGATGTATGATTACGTGTGTTAAAATGACGTTATTTATTTATATGAGTGTCGGCGTTCAGAGATCTTCTCATTCCGGTGTGAGAGCAGCAGCTGAACCCGGTAACACCACCAGAAACAGAAGCTGGTAGGGATCTGGACTTTTTAACAATCAGCTTTGGTGTAAAGTGAAACGCTGTTTATAACATAGTTATAAATCCAGAGGGGTGAATTTAGGCAAAGTCAGCAACATGTTTACATCGGTGAACAGCTGCAGAGAGAACGTAAGCTAACGTTGGTAAGCTAGTCAGCATACCGCTCTCTATGAGCCCCGCTAGACGCGCTACTTCTTCTGATAACTGAACTGGGCATGAACTAGTTGAAGGAACGCTGGAGGAGTTTTGTTTTTGTTTTGATCGCAAAAACAATTTCAGGCTCTACTTTTCCCTTTGTTTAGTACTCGTGTCGCTCACTGTTTACATGCTTTAGCCGTCCACCATGGTGGACCCACGTGATTAGGTGACATCGGTGCAAAGGGTCAATAGTTGGGGCAGAGTGAAATCAAGCTGGGGCGGCACAAATTTAGCTGGAGGCGGCCACCAAGCAAATCTGAATGCAGGAAAAACCCTGGGAGTGAGGGATTATTCTTTTTCATTTGAATCGAGCGCACGCTACATAAGATATCAGAGACAAGAAACAACCAAACGGACAAAATAAACGTAAAAAGATGTGTGTGGTTTTGTTGCCTGATGCTACTATGGCTAAACCCCATCACAGGAGCTAATAAAGTTCCAGAGCGACAGGCGGGTGGACCAGCTTCCAGAACCAACCAGTCCCACAGCACCGCTACGACAGCACACAATATGGCAACCCGCTGCTGCTGTGAGCAGCAGACAGCTTCAGAGCTCAGTCCAGAGTCCAGGACATACGCCCCTGAACCACAACACCTGTAAGCAACACCGGTTCATGATTACCACCTATCAAACGAGTCCAACAGCATTACCGAAGCGGTGTTGTTGAGATGCCGGCTCATGATACACAAGACTGAGCCTGCACGTGCAGCAACCGGAGCGAAGCAGGCAGAAAAAGAAGCATAAACGGGGACTAAAACTGGGAGGTTTTGAACGTGTT